GGTTGCCAGGGGTTGGAGGAAGGGCAGTGGAAAGGTATCAGTCAAAGGGTACAAACGACTGCATCCTAGAGAGCTACTGTACAGCATAGTGCCTACAGTGAACAATACGTATATATTATTATGTACTTAAAACTTGCTAAGAGCATAGATCTTATGTGTTAAGTGTTTTATCACAAAAAATAATAGTAATAAGAGGGCAGGAGGAAACTTTGGAGGCAATGGATGGGTTTCTGGCATATAGATTATGGTGATGGTTTCCTGGGTGTACACTTATCTCCACACTCATCATTGTAGATATTAATTATGTACAGCTTTCTGTATGTCCAAGGGAAGAAGCAGCGGTCTAGAGTCATGCTGCTGCTCAGCGACAGGCCAGGAGCTCACATTCCTGGCATCTCAGCTCTGGAACTGGTGCTTTTAACTCTCCAGCTCCTGGTCTTTGCAGCTTTAGAAGCACATTGTGACCTGGGGCAGGCGCCCGTGTTAGGGCTGGGGTGTTGTCATACCACTTGGAGAAGAGGTGGGACCCTGCAGCCTGGCTGCTTGTGTTCCTTGTTGCTGTCTGAGGTCCTATGAGGCTGGAGGAGGGTGTCCCTCGGGTGAGTCTGGGAGATGCAGTGCTAGGAAGAGGCAGCTGAAGCAAGGACCCACGGGGCGGGGGGAGGGTGCAATCTGGTGAGACCTGGAGAGCTTGGTTATGAGAAGAAATGGCCTGGTGTAGGGGCTAGGAAGGGGCTGGGAACTGTGTTCTCTGGACCTGCTTGCTGCTTTGGGGAGGAGGGCCACTTGAGCCACGAATGTGAGGAGGAACCCTGGACTGAGCCAGCAGGCCGCTGTTTTCATCTTGGCTGCCTATGAGAGCTCACACAGCCTCTCAAGACCTCTTTTATAAAATAGAATTGGAGCAAATCATTTCTAAGGGTGCTTTTAGCTCCGAAAAGTGGGATTTTTAAGTCTAAATTGGTGGCTTAACCCTCACAGCACAGCACCAGGGCAGGTGGGATAATGGTCACAGCAGTGTGTACCCAGCCTTCCCTAGGGGGAGAGAGTGGCACAGCTCCCTGAGCCTCCTGTCACCATGGGTATCTCCGAGCCCGGCCTGGTGGGGTGTAATTACACAGAGGAAGACTTCCGTTGCTAAGTTACAGTTGGCCTGTGGGTCTGTTTCCAGAGCCCTCCAACCTGTTCTGCCCTTGAGTGATTAAAAACTCATTGCTCTGAGGTCTACCCAGCTTCTCTGTCACTCACTGTACCTCTGAGTCTGATGGCAGATGAACACAGTGATTAATTTTAAGACCCCTGGCCCTGGCTGGGTGGCTCAGTTGGTTGGATGCTTCAGTCCTCTCAAACCCTACCCAGGGGCCCAATGGATATGTGTCCATTTTGGGGTCTGAGCATTCCCTGAGAGAACTGCTTTTACTTGAATTTGCAGTTTCACCTAGAAAAACCGATGCACGCGTGTTCTGTGTCACCTGTTGGAGCATCTCAGCAAGAGGCTCACAGGGTTCTGGTCCCTGCTTGCATCCCCGTTTATGGCCACATGGGTGCGCAGTCGCGCTGCTCAGCGATGCCAGAGAAGACCACACAGGCAGGCAGATCTAACTTCCAGTGACTCAGGTGCCAAGCAAAAGCCAGATGATGTCAGAGCTGGCTGTGCAACCAAAGGTTTCTGCTTTGGGAGACTGGTGAGAGGGATGCAGGAGAGCCAGCGGGAGGCTGGGCTCACCTCCACCTGCTCGACTGTCTTGCCTTTGCTGAGAGTCTCAGAGCCTCGGTTGTCCTCAGCCAAGCCTGACATCACCCACTGCACCAGAGTCACACGGGCTATCAGCGTCCCCTCTCTGAAGGAGTTCCATACCTGTTTATGATAAGGAAACCAAGTCACAGTCACCAGCTGTCAACATAGGATTAAGTCTCCAGCTTTGGCCCAGTGTTGCCCTTTATACTGAAACAAGGAGACATTATTTATGTTACGGTTCAGTCTAAGAACATGAACTCTTAACTGAGTGCTAAGTATGCCCACCCAATTAAATGTTAAGTTTACAAGGAGCGCTCAGAGGCTGCCAACATTTTAGCACAGGGTAAATACTTTCGTCAGAACACCTGATGCCCTGTAAATGTTTGTCTAATTTGGGGGCACATTTAAGCAATATGTTACCTCCCTGTTTTATATGCTGCTTCTGGCAACAAAAGGTGGGTTGGGGGCCATCTTCCTGAGGATGTTTGAGTTGGCGGGACTTGTTTGCTCTTTACCAACTCACAGTGTGTGAGACACATCAGTGCAGGCAGAAAGCCTCCATAATTCAGCACCAGTAATTCAGGCTGAATCTAGGATAAAAGCACTTTTCAATGGCAAAAGAAGAAGGCTGTAATTTTCAATGAGAATTAGGCACAGCCCTTAGAAGTAAAATTGTTAGAAAATGATATAAGACCTTCTGTGGGCACCGCCTTGGCCTGGCTGGGTCTCCTGCAGCTTGGGGCTGGTGGGGGCTGGCGGTCCCCCACCTCCACAGCCTGCTCTTGGAGGGGTGACGAGCGACCTGCAGCTGGTCTGGCGGTCCTGCAGGTGGGCCAGCAGCCCCAACCCTTAGGCCTGCATATCATCCAATTCAATTTGAATAGTTGCCAGAAGTTAGGAATGAACACATTTCATATTTTAAGTGGGTCCTGGCTCCTCTGGAAAGACCAGCAGAGTAGTGTTATGAACTGAATTGTGTTCCCACAAATTCGTATGTTCAGACTCTAACCCCCGAGGTGACTGTATTTGGAGATAGGGCCTTTAAGAAGGTAATTAAGGTTAAACTGAGGTCATGAGAGTGGGGCCCTGGCCTCACAGGGCTGGTGTCATGAGAAGAGGAAAAGAGACCAGAGACCTCATTCTGTCTGTGCACACAGAGAAAGGATGTTCTTGAGCTCACAGTGAGAAGGCGGCAGTCTGCAAGCCAGGACAGAGACCTCAGGGGAAACCAGATCTGCTCACACCTTGATCTTGGACTTCTAGCCTCCAGAAATGTGAGACAATAAAAGCCTGCTGTTTAAGCCACTCAGCCTGTGGTACTTTGTTATGGCTGCCTGAGCAGACTCATACAAGGAGACACCACCAGGCCACTTCCCTGCCATTCCCTCATGATCTTGAGCTTTAACTGGGTGTTCGGTCTTGGGTCACACAGCCCACCCCTGGCTTCACTCTCCCCTTTGGCTCTTGGCCCCAGTAAGCAGTGTGTTTGCACTCTTCTAGGCCTAGAGAATTCTTGGAGCTTTTACTCCTTGTCAGATCCCAAGGCTCTTATAAATGACTTTTATGTGCCTGTGACTGGAACTCGCCAGTACCACCCACCCCCCAGTGCCAGATGCCCAGCCTCAGATGGTGAGACCCCCTGGCAGGCGGTGCCCCCACCCCAGCTGCCCAGCTCTTATGGTGTCTGCAAGTGTCTTCGCTTCATGGACACCTTCCTCCAGAGCTGCTTGGAACAGATGGGATCCTAGAAGGGGGATTCCCTAAATCTGTGGACATCAGATAGTATTAGCTGCTCCAGGAACTAAGTGGAGCAGTTTGGGGAAATGAATTGGCAGCATCCTTCTGTCTGCCTCAGTTTCTGAAGAGCCTTCGTAGGCCCATTTTTAATCCCTTATTTATTTTTTTCCCTTTCTTTTGAAAAATATTCTCTATCATGCTTTGTCCTGGCAAGGATTCAAGTTCAAGGAGATTATTTGCACCGGTTCCCAATAAACACGAAGGGGGAGTGGAAGAGTAAGACCGGGAAGGTCACAGGGTGTGCATCAGGCCTGTCACCACAGTGGGCAGCTGCTTAGTTCTCAGGGAACTCTGGGAGCCTCAGAACTGTTCCACCTGGGGAGGATGGTGTCTGTGTTTGTCCCCATCAGAGGTTGGTGCAGGCTGCCTGGCTTGTAGGTGGTCAAGTTAAGAACCCCGGTACTCTGACCTCAGGGCCCCATGCTTTAATGCCACGCTATTTCTAGCAGAATGTTCTGTCCATCCCCCACAACCCTTCCTCTCCACATTTCCCCACTGAAGGGTAACTGAGAGCCTGAATTGTGCAGGGAAGGTCGCTTTGGGCCACTCATACGCATCCTGCCTTCTGTAAACACCATTCCAGCAAGGCTTAGGGGTCCTACTATCTACTTACAAACAGCCCTCTCCCACCCCCCGTCTCCAAGGCTGGTTCCTGCCTGGCTGCCTGTTTGCCCGCAAGGCTCTGACCCCCATGTAGCTTGGTTCCCATAAGCTTTGCCCCAAGGCCTGAGCTCAGTGGATTGCCTACTGCACACACGGCCCCTGGGCCCAGAGAAAAACCCTGGCCTCCTTCCTGCCTGGGCCGCGCCCCACATCCCCACCTGCTGCCAGGCCGGCCTTCAGGGCAGGGACACCTAGAGGGGCAGGTAGCAGACTGCCCGCTGGAGAGCTGAGTACTGGGGCTGAGATGCCCATTCGGGTTGGAGGTGGGTCTTTCCTCTCCCCTTTCCTCCTTTTCCTGGGGGTCTTGCTTTCTGATAGTCCCTGGCTGTGTGCATTTTAGCTTTAGTTTCTATTGGAAGCTGTTGTCTGTGATTAGAGCAAAACGTGTGTTGGCTTGCGCCGCACACACCTGCCTCTCATCCCCCCAGGGAGGGCTTTATTTTTTCTGAATATCAATTTATGACTCATCCACTCTTCCGAGTTCTGTCATTTGTAATAGTGATTTATTTGATTCTTTACTGTTTCCATTTTGGCCAAAGCTAGTTACATGGCCAAACCCAAAGCCCAGTTGTAGAGACGTGGACCGCACCATGGGAGCAGTGGGGCGGGGGAGAGTACGTACTTGAACAGCGGGCCAATCTACCGCAGCATACTGCCAGTGTGCCAAGCGATGCCCGGCTGCCGTGCTGGAGCCGGGACACAGAGCCGAGCACAGCGCCTGGCACAGGGGGAGCTTGAGACGCCTGCAGGCAGACTGCCAACGCCTGTTCCTTTCCCTTCTCTCCTGCAGGCTTCTGCCAGTCGCGCCCAGGGTGCCTGCAGGGATGGGCACAGCCGGCCAGGCCCGTGGCACATCGCAGCGGCCCCCGTCTCCCTAGGGCCCCACGGCGGCGTTAGGATGCAGCTCTCGGCCGTGGCCAACGCCCTGCTGGTGTCGGTGCTGGCGGCGGTGCTGTGGAAGCACGTCCGTCTGCGCGAGCACGCGGCCGCCCTGGAGCAGGAGCTGGCCCAGGGCCGCCAGGCGCTCGCGGCGCAGAGGACCGACTACCCCAAGGCCCTGCAGAGCCTGGCGGAGGGCGGCACGCACATGGTGTGCACCGGGCGCACGCACACCGACCGCCTCTGCCGCTTCCAGTGGCTCTGCTACTCCAGCGAGGCGGAGGAGTTCATCTTCTTCCACGGCAACCGCTCGGTCATGCTGCCCAACCTGGGCTCGCGGCGCTTCCAGCCCGCGCTGCTCGACCTGTCCACGGTGGACGACCACAACACCCAGTACTTCAACTTCGTGGAGCTGCCGGCCGCCGCCCTGCGCTTCCTGCCCAAGCCCGTGTTCGTGCCCGACGTGGCGCTCATCGCCAACCGCTTCAACCCCGACAACCTCATGCACGTCTTCCACGACGACCTGCTGCCCGCCTTCTACACCCTGCGCCAGTTCCCGGGCCTGGCCCGCGAGGCCCGGCTCTTCTTCATGGAGGGCTGGGGCGAGGGCGCGCACTTCGACCTCTACAGGCTCCTGAGCCCCAAGCCGCCGCTGCTGCGGGCGCAGCTGAAGACGCTGGGCCGGCTGCTGTGCTTCTCCCACGCGTTCGTGGGCCTCTCCAAGATCACCACCTGGTACCAGTACGGCTTCGTCCAGCCCCAGGGCCCGAAGGCCAACATCCTGGTCTCGGGCCACGAGATCCGGCAGTTCGCGCGCTTCATGAGCGAGAAGCTGAACGCGAGCCAGGCCGGGGGCCCCCTGGGCGAGGAGTACATCGTGGTCTTCAGCCGCACCCAGGACCGGCTCATCCTGAACGAGGCGGAGCTGCTGCTGGCGCTGGCGCAGGAGTTCCAGATGAAGACGGTGACCGTGTCCCTGGAGGACCACGCCTTCGCAGAGGTGGTGGGGCTGGTCAGCAACGCGTCCATGCTGGTCAGCATGCACGGGGCCCAGCTGGTCACGGCCCTCTTCCTGCCCCGCGGGGCCACCGTGGTGGAGCTCTTCCCCTATGCCGTGAACCCGGACCACTACACCCCCTATAAGACGCTGGCCACCTTGCCCGGCATGGACCTCCACTACGTCGCCTGGCGGAACATGGTGCCCGAGAACACGGTCGCGCACCCCGAGCGGCCCTGGGACCAGGGGGGCATCGCCCACCTCGACCGGGCGGAGCAGGCCCGGATCCTGCAGAGCCGGGAGGTCCCGCGGCATCTCTGCTGCCGGAACCCCGAGTGGCTGTTCCGAATCTACCAGGACACCAAGGTAGACATCCCGTCCCTCATCCAGACCATTCGGCGCGTGGTGAAGGGCCGGCCAGGGCTGCAGAAGCAGAAGCGGACGCTCGGCCTCTACCCGGGCAAGGTGCGGGAGGCACGGTGCCAGGCGTCCGTGCAGGGCGCTTCCGAGGCCCGCCTCACCGTCTCCTGGCAGATCCCGTGGAACCTCAAGTACCTGAAGGTGCGGGAGGTGAAGTACGAGGTGTGGCTCCAGGAGCAGGGGGAGAACACCTACGTGCCTTACATCCTGGCCCTGCAGAACCACACCTTCACCGAGAACATCAAGCCCTTCACCACCTACTTGGTGTGGGTCCGCTGCATCTTCAACAAGCTGCTCCTGGGACCCTTCGCAGACGTGCTGGTCTGCAACACGTAGCCAGCCGCCCGCCAGGCCCCAGGGAGGCGGCCCCTCCAGCCCAGCGCCCCGGCTGCTAACCCCACCGTGGCTTCTGGGGATTGTGTGTTTATTTATTGAGCCAGCCTTCCCCCGGGGCTTGTGCCCCATGTCTTCTTGCAGCATCTGGGACGTGGGGTTCGCAGCACTCCTCTGTTCCCCATTGGGATGAGACACCCTGCCCTGCCCCCTTCTCCCATCCTGAGCATCGGCACCCCTGGAGAAGGTCCTTAGGAGGGGGCGGAGGAGAGGGGAGAGGGAGGGTAAGAATCCCCAGGAACCTCTTTGGCTGAGTGTTCCTGCTTTTCCTACAGAGACGTTCTGGTTGGTGCCCAGGTGTCTGGAAGCTGCAAGTAATCAATCCTGGTGGTTTGATCGGGTAGTTGATTGGCTTCCATCACCATAAAACTCACCTGTAGCCCAGTAAAGGTGTGTTTGGGCTGATCATTAAATGATTATAAACATCTGGTCAAGTCTTTTTATTGGACGATAGGAAATGGGGCTGGGAGATGCCCTTTAATCCTGAGTGTCCACCAAGGGGATGTGGCAGAGGGAAGCGGCAAGCCCTGGGAAGCAAGGCCCCTGATTGGATTCCATCTCAACTGCCGGCTGAGGGCCACGTTTCCCTCTCAGTGGGATAAAGCCTGCGAGTAGGTGGGAGAGGGCTGTGGTGAGGAGGAGCAGTGTCCACCGGGGTTCTTAGGTTCCACTGGACATTCAGACTCTCAGGACCACGGAGACCACACCTGGCATGGGGCCCACTCAGAAGGACGTGAGATAGGATGAGGCAGAGTGGGCAGTGCCAGGCTCTTCTCTGCCACAGGAGGTGTCCTCACACCAGTCCAGGGGCCCTGCTCTTGTCCTCTCCTCTCAAGTCACTGCTCAAGAGTGAGATGAGACCACAGTGGTGGTTGTGGGGGGCACTTTGGCTTAGAAGCCCCATAAGAGCCCTTATCTTATAAACAACCCACAATCATAGTTCCCACGGTCCAAGGGACATGTGCAGTTATAAGAGTTATCACCTTCAGGGAAGCTGTGCTATGATGTCCTACCAGATGTTGTAGTTCATTCATAGTCCCTCCATCCAGATGTGGTTTGTCTAGCAGAAGTCAATTTTACCATCGGCAGTTTTGCCAAATAAAACACCTGACATTCTACTTTTATCTGACTTCCATGGAAACAGAGCTAGAAAGTTAACCCCAGGTCAAATTTGTGAGGAGGAGGGAGTTTTAGGATGTTCACGGAGGTCTCCGCTCCTGCACCTCCTGTGCCCTCCCGCACTCGGACAGAGCTCTTCCCCTGACCTCTGGCCCACAGCTGCATCCTCAGCTACAGGGACCTTGCTTTCCAAACAGAATGCCAGGACATGTGCTCTGACAACCAGACGGAGTATGTTAAACCGGCCTGTCTCCAACCATCTGGAACATGTGGCCACCACAGCACACGGCCTCTAATTCCTTCCAAATTGTGCGTTCTCTGGGGAAACTTGCTCAATAAGATTTATTGA